TTTACCAACTTTCAAAGATTAAAACAAAATCAAGATTTAGAGATAATATCAATAAGATCTTTGAGCCAAAGTGATGGTAATGCAAAAAATATCTACACCATCTCTATGGAATCTTTTCTTGGGCCATCCTCTCTTCTAAACTTTCCTATTCTAAATAATCTGCTTTGTTATACCATCATAGAAAACCATGTTTTCTCTTCACTAGTAATTTTGAAGTTAACCTATTTTATTTGACATTGGTGGGTTTTCTGAATCCTTGTTTCCCTAAAAGACTAAACTCTTAGCAAGCAAGAAACATGTCTTTGACTTCTCTATTCATTCCTACCATAGATTTCCATCTCACTGTTTACTTGGGGCAGTCTGGTGACACACTGCAGCAAGAAAACGTTGAAAATTGCTGATGAGAGAAAGAGACAAACTAAAAAGTGGAAATGACTCTCCTTCTTTTCAGTCATTGACCAGATTTTCCATCGTATTCTGTTATTCTCTATTTTCTTACACTCTACTCTAGGCCTTCATCTTTTGACATCTGGACTGTTTAATAGCTTTCTAAATACTTTCTGTCTCTATCTTTTCTTGATAATCTCATTAAAATAAATTCATGCCACCCTCTAGGTAAAAATCAAGCCTTTCCATATCCAAATCAAGTTTCCTATTTTTTTCATAGTTTTACTAGCCTACTTACTTCAAAATGGCTTCTTCTTCCTTAAAACCTACCTTTTTTGTATTTATCCATCCAAAATTAGCCAAATGTTATATGATAAGTCTTATATTTTCTCAGATGGTATTTTTTTTCAACGTTTTTTATTTATTTTTGGGACAGAAAGAGACAGAGCATGAACGGAGGAGGGGCAGAGAGAGAGGGAGACACAGAATCGGAAACAGGCTCCAGGCTCCCAGCCATCAGCCCAGAGCCTGACGCGGGGCTCAAACTCACGGACCGCGAGATCGTGACCTGGCTGAAGTCGGACGCCCAACTGACTGCGCCACCCAGGCGCCCCTCAGATGGTATATTTTTAATCTCCAACATTTTTTATGTATCTCTGTGTCCAGATGGTAAACCTAGTATGTCCTTTTAATGTAGTGCATATCCTTTAAGTATTTGTTCATTTGATTTATTCATTTGACATGAATAAAATGAATATTCGGCCTTGTGCAAAGGACATTTTTTGGCATGCTGGTAGACAAATGAACTCAAACGTTTAATCTCAAGGGTAACTGTGATTTAACTGGAGCAATCTTTAGTCTGGGCAAAGAGTAAGATGATGTTAAATTCTGTGGATTAACATTATGAGAAAAGGAAATCTATTTTTGTTGCGAGAGAAATTTTGCTACATAATTGTAATTAGGAACAAATCAGATATCAATGATGCATTATATTCTAGAGCTTTAACTAATAAGCACTAATAAATGGTTTCTCAACTTTAAATGGCTTGCACAATATTATTCCTATACATTGCTCCATGTACAGAAAATAATGAAAAGTGGGTCTGTTATTCAGAAAATTCAATATTTATTCTAAAATATGAATTGTTGGGTTAAAAGAATATTTCAAACACTCCAAAAGGGCATAAAATCTACCTCTACTAATTAGTTTCTCTATGAAAGCCTTCCAGACAATTATAGGGTAATACCACTGGTCAATGCTTTAGGTGCTTTTCATTAAAAGTATAGTGTTGCTACCAGATGAATTGCTTCATATAAAAGCACTTACCACAAAGCCGTATAATGGAAGGTTAAGTGCTATACTTAATTACTAATTTCAATCCTTATTACCTATATTTTGCAGTGCAGGCACTTTAAAAGGAACCAAATATAGTCTGTTGGTTCCTGCTTCTCTGATTATAGGATTTGGTGGTAAAAGCATTAGTGCAGCTGTATTTCTAATGAAGAATAACAACATAAAAAAACTTTAAAATAAAAGTAGTGATACCACAAACCAATATAAAAGACATATACTAGACATTTCTAATGAACTCATACATAAAATCACTTTGTTCTAAAAACTTTAATCTAGATGACACACACTTCTAAATTTGTATTCAGCCTTCACAGCATTGTTGCAGATACAGCTCCAAAAGAAGAAAGTCTTTGAAATTTTCATGGCTTATTTCCTACCTCAATATCATGCTGAAATGCACACAGAACAGATGATTAATAAAATACTTGATAACAATGGTGACTCCCCTGAGTTCTTTACATATTCATCATGAACTTTTTACATGTATATATTGAAATTCCTCACAAGTGCTCTAATTTTCTTGAGGACAGATTCTGTGTTTTACTTTTGCTTGTATCTTCCATAATAACTGTGACTTTGCTCACTCTTGATTAATTAATATTATATCAAATACTTTTCACTGAAAGCGTAGAATAGAATCTTTGCATGTGCCTATTTTTTTCTAAATATAAAAGAGGTTGCATCTAAAATAACTATTTCTAAAGATTGTCCCTTAATTATCAGGATATTGTCAGTTTCTGATCTTTAAATATATTTTACAATGTTCCCTATACTGGGCATCCATTTAATTGGTAAATGAGACATTATATGTGTGTTAAACAAATTTTAGTCTAGAAAAATATACAACTATTTGCTGACTTAAGTGATGTACTGCCTTATTCTAGTATTAAATTGGACATTAGCTTGCCACAGGATCATGTCTTTTTTGAAATATACCTAGTACATAGTATCTAGTAAGTGCACAATTAAAAGACTGTCAATCAGATAAAATATATTAAAGAGGCATAGAAATTTTTGAAAATATAAAATATTTATCTCAATGCATTAATGCATTAGAAAACTAGGTTTTGGTTATCTATGCTTGAGAAATGCATATTGTATTTCTCATTTAGAGACACATTATGTATATTAATAAAATAAAGTCCAGATATAGATATTTTAAACTTAGTTTAAAACAGATTTTCTCCAACTAACTTGAGAGTGGGACTTCTCTCCCCTTGTAGGTCACCACTAGCATTCTCTAAAAAGGAGCTCTTAAAAAATAGCTCTATGTGATAAAAATGTGATAAAAGTAAAAAGTTACTAAAATGAAATAATTTTAACAAATTAACTGGTGAAACATTGCTGGGCTACTATAATAGTAACAGAATTTGTCAATTTACATATTCAGGTCTATTATTCACAGATGACAAAACCCCCAGAGACACAGCCTAGACCTTACCCTACTTTACACATTTCATGGTGTCCACTGCAATAACTTCCTCTCAGTAAACAGGTATTGATTAATCTGTATTTTGGAAAATTCACCAATTTACTCTCCATAATTCCACTAAAGGTGTACTTTTTATGAAAAATACCCTTCTACTAGGATTTCAGTAAATGCAGTATTAGCAGGGTCTATGTGACATATTTGAGTTACTTTCCTTCCAAGTCTTCCAATCCATTACAGATGGTAAAGGAAGGTGTACATTCTTGTAATTGTAGGGATAATTCCCAGGACGTCAATTCAGCAAATATTTATTGACTGCCTACTATTTGCCAGTATTATAATGAGCCCTGGACATATTATTAATGTGCTTGCTTCTGAATTTTGTCATAGAGCTGGGTTTTTTTTTTTATCACACTTAATTCAGCAAATATTTGCACAGCACCAGTTTTACAGAATAGGTTTGAAATGAGGCCTGAAGATGTAGAAATATATAAATCAGAAAAGTTCCAGGAGGGCACCACGGACATTTCATTACACATTTCCTAATTGTGAGTCAGTATTAAGAAAAACTGAGATCTTTATTAATAAGTTAGTTATTTCCTCATATTATTTCTTCCAAGAAACAAATGCTTACAACAGAGGCTTATATGCATTTTGGTAATCATTTTTATTGTGCAAAATGAAAATTTCTTTTTAAATATTTTCTTTATACACTACTATAAATCTGTTGTACAAGTCAGTTGTAGCTAAAAGGGGAGCAGAGAGAAATGAGGGCTGATGTGTTTAGTAACCTCTTGTACTAAAATATAGTGATAATAATTGAAGTAAAATACAAGTATACTTTTAATTTGTATTTTACTTTAAAATAACATGATAGTTAAAGTTTATTTATTTTTGAAAAAGAGAAAGGGGGAGGGGCAGAGAGAGAGGGAGAAAGAGAGAATCCCAAGCAGACGGTCAGCACAGAGCCTGATGTGGGGTTTGAACTCACAAACTGTGAGATCATGAATTGAGCCAAAGTTGGATGTTTAACTGACTAAGCCACCCAGGCATCCCAAAATAACATGTTTTTTTTTAATTGGGAATATATGCAACCACAAGTAACACTAGTTTAAGTCTTTATTTCCTTTGTTTCAATAATGCAGATCTGATAAGCTGATTAACAATGAAAAAAGGTAATTTTTATTTTATCTATAATAGCTTGGCATTCATTTTATAGACAAGAAATGAATAATGCTAGTGTCACAGAATCCTTGTGAAACTCCCATATGGTTATATGGCAGTGAAAACAAACTTCATTTACTTACACGTACTTATAACGGGTGACTTATAGTACTATATATTGTTCCTTTACTGTTTCTCTATTTGTCTCATGGTCCTCTTGCACCTTTCATGAGTTTCAGCTCTGCACCATCAAAGGAACCACCTGGTCCTACTTTTTTTCAGAGAAAAATACGTAATATTCCCTCCCTCAGTTTTAAATATAACTTTGTTACTTTTGACAAAGCCTTTCCTTTGTTCAAATGCAAGGATCCAGTAAAAAGAGCTTTGACATGTTGTGCCTTTTATGTGTGCATTTTTCTGGTTTCACTGATGTCCTGAATTTTGCAAACGATAAAGTGTGCCTTCAAGTTCTCCTACAAAATGCCATTTGTACACTGTATCAAGAACAGTTTAGGACAGCATTACATTCACATGATTTTAAAGTCCAATAAATACTTGATGGTTTCTCAGAAAACCCACAATCTGGTGAAACGGACGCAAAATAGTGCTTTGTTTTCCAGTTTGTTTTTCATAAAATCTTCCCCCGATACACATTCACTGGCTTACCTGCAGGGTAGCGCTCGATCACTGGCCAGCTGTCCACCTGTAATGTGGCATTGCCACCACTCCTTGTAAAACGGACTACATGGTATTTCCCATCGTTAATGATTGCATTGGACTCCTCAATGGCGATGTCATCTGTCCCAACATTAAATTTAACTCCAATTTTTCCTTGGTGCTGGAAGGAAGGAGGGGACAAAAAAAAATTGTATGAAGTTATAGTGATTAGTCAGCATTTAATAAGAATTAAGTATAGGAACAAGACAAGAATATCCACTCTTGTCACTTTTGTTCAACATATTATTGAAACTCCTAGCCACAGCAATTAGGCAAAAAAAAAGGAATAAAAGGCTTCCAAATTGGAAAGTAAGAAGTAAAACTGGAACTATTTACTGATTATATAATATTATATATAGAACATCCTAAAAACTCCATAAAAATGGCTAGAACTAAAAAACAAATTCAGGGGCACCTGGGTGGCTCAGTTGGTTAAGCGTCTGACTTCAGCTCAGAGCCTGGAGCCTGCTTCAGATTCTGTGTCTCCATCTCTCTCTGTCCCTCTCCCACTTGTGCCCACAAAAATAAATAAATGTAAAATATAAAAATTAAAAAAAAACAAATTCAGTAAAGTTGCAGGATACAAAATCAATAGACAAAAATCTCTTGTGTTTCTTTTTTTTTTTTAACGTTTATTTATTTATTTTTGAGACAGAGAGAGACAAAGCATGAACAGGGGAGGGTCAGAGAGAGAGGGAGACACAGAATCTGAAACAGGCTCCAGGCTCTGTGTGGTCAGCACAGAGCCCGACGGGGGGCTTGAACTCACGGACCGCGAGATCATGACCTGAGCCGAAGTCGGCCACTTAACTGACTGAGCCACCCAGGCGCCCCTCTCTTGTGTTTCTTTACACTAATAATATACTATCAGAAAGAGAAATTAAGAAAACAATTCCATTTACAATTACATCAAAGAGAATAAAATGCATGGGAATAAATTTGAGCATGGAGGGAAAAAAGATCTGTATATTTGAAAACTATAAGACATTAATGACAAGAATTGAAGAAGACACAAATAAATGGAATGAAATTCTATGTTCACAGATCAGAAGAATTAATATCATTACCATGTCCTTACTACCCAAAGCATTCATTATACAGATTCAATGCAATCCCTATCCAAATTCCAATGGTATTTTTCACAGAAATAGAACAAAAAACCCTAAAATTTGAATGGAACCACAAAAGGCCTTGAATAGTGTAGCCAATCTTGAGGAAGAAAAACAAAGCTGGAGACATCATGCTCCCTGATTTCAAACTATATTAAAAAGCTACAGTAATTAAAACACTATGGTATTTGGCATTAAAACAGACACATAGATCAATGAAACAGAACAGAGAGCCCAGAAATTCACCCACACAACTATGTCCAATTAATTTACAACAAAGGAGCCAAGAATATACAATGGGGAAAGAACAGTCTCTTCAATAAATGGTACTGGGAAAACTAGTCAGCCCCTTGCAAAAGAATGAAACTGGACCACTATCTTATGCCATACACAAAAATTAACTTAAAATGTATCAAAAACTGGAATATAAGACCTGAAACCATAAAAAACCTAGATGACAACATAAGCAGTAAGCTCCTTGGTATAAGTCTTTTGTGATGATTATTTTAATCTGTCACCAAAAGAAAAACAACAAAAGCAAAAATAAATAAGTAGGACTACATGAAACTAAAAAACTTCTGGACAGCAAAGGGAACCATCAACAAAATGAAAAGGGAACCTGGGGGGAATAGTTAAGATGGCAGAGAAGTAGAAGAGCTCTGGGCTGTCCTTGTTCCTCAAACACAGCTGTATTGAGGTCAGATCACTTGGAACACCCAGGAAATTGATCTGTAGAGTGGCAGAAGGATCTCCACAGTTGGCAGGAGTTAGCATGGCAGGTGCAAGGTTTACTTCAACAAACAAATCAAAGTACATCCAGTTAAGGTCCAAACACATCCCACTACAAGCCAGGAGAACCTCTGCAGAGTACCGACGCAGTAGGAAAGAGCAGCCAACCCGCAACAGCAGAGTGCACACAACATACACCAGAAACACTTCCTGAAGAGCCAAGCCCTGGATAGTGTATGACCCCTTTTTAATATAGTAGTACTCTCAAGGGCAGAAAACATGTCAAGCTTTTAAAACATGCAAAAGATAGAAATTTAGCCAAAATGACAAGACAGAGGCATTCTCCCCAAAAGAAAGGTCAAGAAGAAGTCACAGGCTGGGACTTGCTCAAAGAAAATATAAGCAATATATCTGAACAAGAATTTAGAACAAGAGCCATAAGACTACTAGCTTATGAAGACACCAGAGAAACCCTCGCTACAGAGATCAAAGACCTAAAAACCAGTCGGGCTGAAATTTAAAAAAAAATGGTATAACTGAGATACAAAGCTGAATAGATACAGTCACAATGAGGATTGTAGAAGCAGAGAAGACAATAGATGATATAGAAGATAAAATTATGGGAAGAAAATGAAGCAGCAAAGAAGAGGGAAAGGAAAGTATTAGAGCAAAAAGGAACTTAGCAATTCCATAAAAGTAAACAATACCCACATCATAGGAGTCCCAGAAGAACAGCAGGAAAAAGGGGCAGAAAGTTTATTTGAACAAAATGTAGCTGAGAACTTACCTAGTCTGAGGAAGGAAACAGGCATTCAAGTCCAAGATGCACAGAGAACTTCCCTCAAAATCAACAAATACAGGTCAACACCATGACACATCATAGTGAAACTTTCAAAATATAAAGATAAAGAGAGAATTCTGAAAGCAGCTAGGGACAAAAGGTCCTTAACCTACAAGGATAGACACATCAGGTTAGCAGCAGACCTGTCCACTGAAACTTGGTGGGCCAGAAGGGAGTGGCAGGAAGTACTCGATGTGCTAGAACATGACAGGGATGTCAACTCTCACCACTGTTGTTCAACATATCATTGGAAGTCCTAGCATCAGCAATCAGACAACAAAAAGAAATAAAAGGGATACAAATTGACAAGGAAGAAGTCAAAGTTTCTCTCTTCACAGATGATGTAACACTGTATGTGGAAAACCCAAAAGACTATCCCAAAACTGCTAGAACTGATACATAAATTCAGCAAAGTTTCAGGATATAAAATCAAAGTAACAGAACTGGTTGTATTTCTATATACCAAAAATGAAACAGCAAAGAGGAATCAAGGAATGGATCCCATCTAAAATTGTACCAAAAACTGTAAGAGACCTGGGAATAAAACTAACCAAAGAGGTTAAAGATCTGTACATTGAAAACTACAGAGAGCTTATGAAAGAAAATGAAGAAGACACAAAAGAAATGGAAAAACATTCCATGGTCATAGGTTGGAAAAACAAATATTGTTAAAATGTTGATACTACCCAAAGCCATCTACACATTCAATTAATCCCTATCAAAAAATGCCAGCAGTCTTCACAGAACTAGAATTAACAATTCTAAAATTTGTATGAAACCAGAAAAAAAAACCCGAATAGACAAAGCAACATTGAAAAAGAAAACCTAAGCTGGAGGCATGAAAATTCTGGACTTCCAGCTGTATTACAATGCTTTAATCATCAAGACAGTGTGGTACTGGCACAAACACAGACAAAAGACCAATAGAACAAGAAATAGAAAACCCAGAAATGGACCTACAAATGTATGGTCAACTAACCTTTGACAAAGCAGGAAAGAATATCTAATAGAAAAAGGACAGTCTCTTCAGCAAATGGTGTTGGGAAAAGTGGATAGCAACTTGCAAAAGAATGAATAAAACTGGACCAGTTTCTTATACCATACACAAAAGTAAATTCAAAATGGATGAAAGACCTAAATGTGAGAGAGGAAACCATCAAAATCCTAGAGGAGAAAGCAGGCTGCAATCTCTTTGACCTCAGGCACAGCGTCTTCTTCTGCAGGCAAAGGAATCAAAAACATAAATGAACTCTTAGGACCTCATCAAGATTAAAAGCTTCTGCACAGGAAAGGAAACAATCAACAACACTAAAAGGCAACCAATGGAATGGGAGAAGATATTTGCAAATGACATATCAGATAAAAGGTTAGTATCCAAAATCTATAAAGAACTTATCAAACTCAACATCCAAAAAACAAATAACCCAGTGAAGAAATGCAGAGAAAACATGAATGGACACTTTTCTAAAGAAGACATCCAGATGGCTAACAGACACATGAAAAGGTGCTTAACATCACTCATCATTAGAGAAATACAAATCAAAACCACAAAGAGATACCTCCTCACACCTGTCAGAATAGCTAAGTTTAACAACTCAGGCAACAACAGATGTTGGCAAGGATATGGAGAAAGAGGAACCCTTTTGCACAGTTGGTGGGAATGCACACTGGTGCAGCCCCTCTGGAAAACAGGATGGAGGTTCCTCAAAAAATTAAAAATAGAGCTACATATTACCCAGCAATTGCACTATGAGGCATTTATCCAAAAGATACAAAAATGTTGATTCAAAGGGGCACATGCACCCCAATGTTTACAGCAGTGCTATCAACAATAGCCAAATGTCCATCAACTGAAAACTGGATAAAGAAGATATGGTGTGTGTATACACACACACACACACACACACACACACACACACACACACACTGGAATATTGGCGATCAAAAAGAATGAGATCTTGCCATTTGCAACAAAATAGATGGACCTCAAGGGCATTATGTTAAGTAAGTTAAATATTAAATAATTAAATAATATTATGTTAAGTAAAATAAGTCAGAGATGACGAATACTACATGATCTCTCTTATATGTGGAATCTAAAACAAACCACACACCAAGGTTACAGATACAGAGAATAGACTGGTGATTCCAAGAAGTAGGGGGTGAGGGATGTCAGAAATGGATGAATTTTTTTAATTTAGTTTAAATAAATTTTAAAAAATTAAAAAAAGAGATTCAGACATAAGTATACGTGTGTGTGTGTGTGTGTGTGTGTGTGTGTAAAATCACGTGTGTGTGTGTTTGTGTGCAATCACTTCCCTCAAAATATTCACAGTTCAATGAAGTTCATCTTGGGCTCTTTTTATCACTACATATATAGACGTAGGCCGTCTGAGATGCATTTCTCTTGTCATGTAGTTACCCTCAATCACCCTCCTAGTC